TACGCAAAATTTTTTTTACACAAAATATTGTATTTATTTTGCTCGTGTAACCATATTTTGCATTACTTCACTTAAGTTTTTGCATGCGTTTTTCTGCGTAAAATCTGAAAAAATGTTTTGGTTTTGGCGACATGGGCGTCTGAGGAGTGTGATGAGCTCTAGCGGGATGAGGAGTACCACATGCACGAAATCAGAAAAGACTATAAGCGTAAAAGTACATGAAAATATTCCATTATGTGGAGTCGTTATTGATGCAGAACAAAATTTATCAGAACTCTAAATTTTTGTTCTCTTTTAAGCGGTGTACTGGAAATCTGCTGGAATTTTTAGGGATAAGAAAACAGAAATTTTTACATTCCAAACAAGAATCTGACAGAATAACAGCATCCTCTCAGATTCTGGTTGAATGCTGCTGTAATTCTGCCAGAATCTGGTCGAATTCTGGTCAGAAGCAGAATTGGAATTCTATCGGAATTCAACCAGAATCTTAGGAACAGTACATCTTTGATGGCTTTTTTGAAAAGCACATTGAGACACACTTTATTAAGTTTAATGGTAGCTGCTATGACAGAGACCACTGATAAACCATATCAAGATCATTGTTCAAAACCGCGGTGACCTTTTTGTAGTTTTCATCGCTACTATATAGTAACGTGTCATCAGGAAAAATATGAGTCTTAGAAGTCAGGTCGTGTTCAATATCATCAATGTAAATGAGGAATAATAGAGGACCCAGTATACTTCTCTGCGGTATGTCGCAGTTAATACGGATAGGTTTTGATTGTTTACCTCCAACTACTGTTGTGATATGTCGATTTAGTAAGTAATCCTCAAACCACGCAACTAGTTGAGGACAAACACCTTTGTTTCTTAATTTGTACAGTAATTCATTGCGCCACACCTTGTCAAAGGCTTTTTTAAAATCCACGAACACTACCTAAATGTCTTCTCCCGCCGCTCTATCCTTATAAATAGAGTGCACAAAATCTACTAACTGGTGTACGGTTGAGTGCTTCTTTCGGAAGCCCGACTGAAAAACCACCCTCACAAAAAAGCAAAAAAATTGATGATGATTCACGCAAAAGACGATTATTGACACCTGATGCGGTTGCTTTATTGATATCTAGATGAGACAAAATATGCTCAACCTCCTCCGCAGAAACATGAAAAGGCAAAAGCGAAGAGCTCACATCTGGAAGGAGGTCGGGAGGAATAGAGGCATTATAATCTGCCTTTGATATAGTACACACAGAAGCAAAATGTTCATTCAATAACTGAGCCTTTTCCTGATCATCATAAATCAACTGAGAGTTGACGTTCTGGAGAACTGGTAGTGAAGACGTATTAGTTCCACGAATATTGTGCTTAACGAGTTTCCACCAGTATTTACTCCCACTATTAATTCGGTTTATACGTTGAAAATAGCTTTCTTTTGCGTCACGGCAAGCCCTATAAAAATGTCTTTGAGCTTCCTGATATCGTTGTTTGGAGTTCACAGGTGAATTGAGAGTTTTACATTGGCTAAAAAGTTTATTTTTACATCTATACAGCTCTCTCAAGCCATCCACGAACCAAGGCTGATCTCTATTTCGCAAAACAATATCTTTAAAGAGAATCGCTTTTTCTGCTGCTTGTTGAATGCAACTTTACAGCAAGTCGCATTTTGTCTGAATGTCACTATTATGAAACTTGAATGCATCGCTATTAAGTTTATTCATCAATAGATAACGATAATAGTTCCAATCCACAGCTTTATAGTTCCAAATCCTTCTCTGGACAGGCGTCTTGACAGGCATAGAAGTGTTTAATTTGATAAATACTGGTGAATGGTCACACGTTTCACACAACAATGGTAGAAGTCTCACACTATCAAAAAGACTCAAATTATTCGTCATTACTAAGTCAAGACAAGTCTCAGATACTAATCGAGTAGGTTCTCTGGCTAATTGACAGAGTTCCGTACTGTCTACAAATGAAAAGAGTTTATCTCCTTCTGACGTTGAGGGGCGAGTGGCACACCACTTATCACAGTGAGCATTGAAGTCACCCAACATTAGGAGACCAACAAAGGATCTAGTTGACATAGCTGTACCGAAAGAAGCAGACAGGACTCTATGTATTCATCAAAGATATCAGTAGTCGATTCAGTTCTGTAAGACGGAACCAGCAAAACATTTCCTGTTCCAGGGATGATAAGAGCAAAAAACATGGTTTCAAATTTTATATTATCGAGGAAAAACAGACGAGTAGAGAGAATATCATTACGTGTATACAGTAAACAACCGCCTGCTCTTTTGTCTCTGTCTAATCGATGGCTAGTATAATTTAAAATATTTATGTCTTCGTCTTTTATTGATGTATCTAGCCATGATTCTACTATAGCATTAACAACCGGATTTTCTACCTATATAAATAATTTTAATCGATCTATTTTTTTAACGAATTTTTCCCTTTTTCTTTTTTTCGAGTACTAGACGGGAGGATATTGCGAACGTTCAGCAATACCACAGAATGTGTGTTATCGCTCATATTCTGCAGATTAGTTGACATCATCGAATCGTCTGAACCTCAACGATAAAGTGGCTCTCATCCCGTCAGTTATAAAACAGATAGTAGAAAGAAGAACACAGCTTGTAGTGCTTAAAGAAAAGAAGAAAATATGACTGTCGAGGAAATAAACTTGTATAAAAAAAAAGTGTTTATTTTATAGAGGAGAAAATGTGCGAATGTCATCATGACACACTGCTATACAATACAGCTAACTGCCTGAATAATAAATAGAGAGATATACGATATGATAAAAGGGAGAATTTTAGGAAAAACTGAACTGATCCGGTTGAAGTATTACACTTACGAATCCACAAGACTCCTAAAATCCTCTTAGGCTTGACTAGACACTTCTTGTCGTTGCGATTCTGTACAACTATTAGCCATCATAACTGAATCATGGATATTATTTGTAGATGGTATTACACTAATAATTTCAGAAGTCGTAGGTGGTTGCTGCTGGTGTTTAGCTACGATCTTTTGCGCTGTTATTCTTCTCCATGAATTATCGGATTGTTTACAATAAACATGACCATTTCTGGTAACAATTTTTTTCCTGTCAGATTGCTCAACTGAGTCACCAGCTGAATGAAATAAAGCTAATGTTTTTTTTTGTTAAATCTTCAACAATAAAAATTATGAAGTTTTTTTGTTTTAGTGGATATGTTGAGCGAAGGATTTCTTGACGAGTAGACCGACTAAAATAACGTACAATGATCGGACGATTTTGACCATATTTGAATGGGCCGACGCGGTGACCGTTCTCAATAGCTGTTGGGGATAATTCTAATTCAAGTTGTTTATTTGTAAATGAAGTAATTTTTTCAATGATATTTTCATTCTTTTCTTCATAAAAACCGTGAACACGTAAACACCATGTTCGATTATATCTTTCGAGGTCATCAATTTTGTCTTCAAGGCTGATAAGACGGTCACTAAATGTTTGAAACACCGGTGTAAATAGGGAGACGATCGATTCAGTTGCAACGAAAATATTGCTATCGTTTGATTTCACAATATCTGATATTTGTTGCTGTAGTGATGGATCGTTCTTGATTTTATTGATCATCGTCTCTTGTAGTTGAGCTGGGAGAGACGATGGGTGTAATGCTAAACGTCCGTAATTATTGCTCCGTAATTGACTGGTTTTGGTCGATGTGGTAGACCATTTAGGCATATTAATGACAGTCAGTAATAATTGAAAAACAATCAAATTAATCGTATAAATAATCCTCAAGTTAGCTAATTGTAAGCAAGAAGTGAACTTTTATTTTTCGCAAGACATAATACGTCCGTTCTGCATGTGTAAAAGTATAGTTGAGTATGTTAGCTTTAACATACGAATGGAAAAAGTTCTATAGGTCGGCTATTTCTACTGTGCGAAGACGAAAAAGTCAAATTTTCTCTCGTTTAGGATGAGTTTTGGTAAAACCGCTTTTGTTCAAGAAAAACACGTTTAACGCGAAACTATGATATACGAAAACAAAGACGACACTCAGGAACACTGGAAAATATATTTTATTCCGCTTTTATGTATGTCACCTTGCTCAATATCAATTGGTTTCTCGGTGTTTTTTGTCCTAGAAGTAGTCGATATGGCATATTTGCCATATTTCTTTCATATTCTCTTATTGTTTGAGGCATATAGAAAAATTTTCAGTATGTTTTTTGTACAGAATTAAATGACACATTTTCTGAAAAAGAAATTGAAATTTTACCATATTTCTGGACTGACGAGGGAACCTCTCGAGGTGATTAAAAGCTTTTCGACTGAGAATAAGGTGGTAAGGTAGGCCCTAGTTAGGAGTGCAAAAGCCCGTCTAGGGGGTGGCCCATAGTACTTTCTTGTGGAGGCACGAATTTACCAAGTTATACACGAAAAGTTCATATATTTTCCTGATCAATCTGGCGTTTCTTGATGGAAATATTCTCTTTTTTTCTTTCCTTCCTGATGAAATTGCTGTTTCTCCACGAGAGTTCATCTATTTTCCGAATGAATTTGGTGTTTCTGCACGAGAACTACTCCGTTTCCTTTCAAGAACTCTGTGTTTCCGCACGAAAATATTTCTTCCCGACGCACTTGGTGTTTCCCCAGGAAAGTAAATTATTTATTTCTGAAGAACACGGTGTTTATGCACGAGAAGTTCATCTGTTTTCCTGATGAACTTGGTGGTTCTTGACGAAAATATCATCTTTCTTTCTCAAGAACGTGGTGTTTCTTCACGAAAATTTGCTCACGAGAAATTCATCTATGTTCCTGATGGACTAGGTGTTTCTTGAAATGATTTTCTAGAGGTTTTTCGAAAACCTACATGCTAAAATGTATATCAATTTGTTCTTTTGTTATCCGAGTCATGTAGTATTGCTTTTATTTGGTTGTATGAGCTTAAACACAAGGTTAGAGAAATATAAAAAGAGAATACTATGTCTGATTTACGTCTTACATGACTCGGGCAACAAAAGAACAAATTGATTTATCCTGATACTATCAGATGCTTTGATAAGAGGAAAAAGTGTATATAACTATGAAATAGTACATTACAGAACAGAAAAAACAACAACTGCTGTATTGTAGTAAAATGTCAAAAGCCTATGAAAAAAGCATAGAAAATCGTTGAAGATCAAGATAAAGTCATTTCCATGCATCACAGGCAATAAAAACTAGACGAAATATCGGAAGTATCGATAATAGTGAAAAAGAAGCTAAAACTGGCCTGAGGTTTCCTCGAACACTCTTTAAAATCTGTTCATATACAGTTGGAACAGTTTGTGAAGTATAAAAATTAAACTTAATATTTTGTTGGGAGGCCGTTTTGTTTTATGCATTCGTCGAAGGGATTTTCCGTCTGTAGATTTTTGAAAAACCTCTAGAAAATCATTTTATCCAAGATCTGGAACTCACCAACTATCTAGATATGTTCAATTTTTCGAGCTCTATTCAACCATGTCCTTGGAAATGTTTCAGCTAGCTTGTGAACGCGGAGAGTGCAGTTTTAAAAAATTTCAAATTTAAAAGTTAAAATAAAAACTTTAGATTATGAGCTGGAGAGTTGGACTTTTTTTATAATGTAGCCCACTCAATTCTGAATGAAACCGCTAATTTTGTAATATTTTTACAGACAAGTGTTTCTTTAAAAAAAATTATTGTCTGTAAATGGATGTGTGAAAAACCATGATTTTCTGGAAACCCTACTTCTGACATTTGTAAAATTATTTCGAGTTAGCCATCGTAAAGAGCTTCGCTCAAACCCCTTAAGTACTGAGATTTATCAAAATCCCTTCGACGAATCTTGAGATAGCATTTTCATGTTACACGCCTATTGAACGAGGAATCTTTTGGAAAAAAGTTTGAGTCAAACGGACGAAAAATGCGTGAGATATTGGCAAAATACTGACTGTGCCATTATTTCTGCCACACCCGTTGTATCGGATGGAAATCAGTGCCTTGAATTTTTGTTTGGTTCATTGTCTTCAGTGTTGATTGAAAAAAACCCTAAAATCACGATATTGGTCAGAATACGCAATCGGCTCCTGTTGAAAAAATGCGCCGTCTGTCGTCTGCCATGTGAATCTTTACAAAATATAACAAGCGGAATATCTCTGATGCTGCTAACGAGCTGTTTAGGGCATTTTTCTGTTTAGTGCCTCCAGATGGGACGATCAAGAAATTCTCCCAGAACTCATGTTTTTCACCATGGAAAGTTATCGGATTTGTGCACAAAACATGTTTTTCAGCGACCACCCGTCAATTCGCAGCGAAAGAACAGAAAAAACTCTTCCAAGTCATGGTCGGATACCTATGAATTTATCCTAGTAAGAGATTTTTCCAAGTCTTTCGATTTAAAGGATTTTCAATACATGGACAGATTAAAGCCATCTGATGATTGTCGTAACTGAGATGAAATCCGCATTATGATACTTTACAGTAGAACTCACTTGGCGTCGCACTCTCAATTAGTCGCAAAAAATCGAGTCAGATGATCAGCATTGTATAACGATGCTCCCAGAATGTTTACTCTCAAAGTTCCGGCTGTAATGTTAGAATATCATGGAAAAGTTAAGTAGGTAGGAACTAAGAAAACCAGTTATCAGCCAAATGAATAAAGAGCCGGCGTGTTGGTTTGAAGCCGTATTTTGGTTCTTCTCGAAACAATCGAAGAGTTGAGTCATGATGCTGATCATTGTGGTTCCAGCTTCCATTGTATGATTAGTGGCTGTCGAAATATCTCCAGTTGTTAATAAAATAGCTCCCAAATTTCTTTTCTGATTTGCTAGCATTAAATTTATTGCACCGATCAAAGATCCCTGATATCCAACCAAGCGTCGTCTACCTATATCCACCCAATTCCATATAAGACCATATTTAGTAGTTGACGGATGCGGGTAGGCTTCCTGTGGAGAAATGTGAAGTATTTGCTCGATCGATGATGAGTTACGTAGCAACATAGAGAAATTATTTAAGAATGCTTGGAGAAAGAGGCTAAATCCACGAGCCGACATGCGTAAATAACCAGAAGCATATAAACTTGAACCGTGAAAAGGAATGTATAGCCATTGGGAATTTCCTACCTAAAAAAAATAATTTTTGATAAAATTCTATATGCTGTGGGAGAGAGCACTGCTCGTCTGGGTACCGCTTCGAAACTTACGGCAGTGGCATTCACACGCTGTAGAAAGCATCCAGCTCTGCAGATATTGATTCATTGTACAGATAGTTGCCAACGAGGGTCTTCTCATCAAAACTGCTCAATCGATAATCTCCCATTTTCTCGGTTCAAAAAAAACATTCAATGGTTTTAATATTCTATCTTGAACATATTGTTCGAATCGCATCCCAGCCAAACGTTCAATAACAAATGCTGCTAAATTAGTACCCGCATTCGAATAAGAAGTTCTGTTTCCAGGTGGAATAGGTAACCAGCCAGCTGCACCATTAAAATATTTCGTGAGAACATCGCCCAAATTTATTCGTATGAAAGCATCACCCGGCGTATAAGTCTCAATTTCTACTGCAGCGTTTGCTCCGATACCAGATGCATGCATAAGCAAATGTCGCATAGTAATTGTAACATTGGGATATTGTGGATGTGCAACATTCAGAATAGGTGACAAATATTGATTGATGTCTGTGTCTAGATTAAGGCGATTGGCTTCAACCATTTGCATAGCTGCTACAGCAATGAACGTTTTTGAAATGGAAGCCAAAAGGAAAACTGAATCTGAAGCATTTATTGGTTGGCATTGGCTTGAATTAAGAGGACTATCATAATCGAAAGTTTGTTGATAGACGGTGCCACTTGCAATGACGCCAACGATTGCAGCGCCGTACATAAAAGCTTTGTCAAGGAGGGGCTGGATTGAAGATGCTGTTGGAGGACATTGGGACTGCTTTGTATCTGCTTTTACTAAAGCGATGAGAAATAAAAAGCAGTAGATCTGCATGATAGTTCGATCGCTTATGATCCAACACTGCTCTACTACCGTTAATATATACATGTATATATATATTATATATTATAGCAAATACTATTAATTACACTAATCAAGAAAAAAGGAGTAAAATTGGATGCGAGAGCTTTTTTCTTTGGCCTTGATATGCTGTAGGTGAACTTCCATCGTCCTTAAGGACATTCGATATCTAAGACGCTTTACAGATCAATATGTTGTCGTGTATAATCGTATTGCACTTTACTGAGGCTTTTCTCAGATTTCAATATTTGGCTGTTTTGCTTGCATATAACATACGATGCAGAAGTAATAACAAAAAAATTTGATCCCTATATCAATTTCCAGAGTGCGCAGTTTGTCAACAAGTCAGTTGATAAGAAGTATTCTTTGCTTTCTTATCACGTATAATTCACGTTTATTATTTACTGACAAACAAAACAACAGTAAAAAAACAGAAATGTCCACAAAATGACTGCGCATTTTACGTAGGATATCTTATGTCAGGATTCGAGTGTTTCCTGGATGGATTCGCTCAGAGAAGGGATCAAGTTAGATCAGCGACGGACCATAGTAGAACTGGACGAGTTCTATCAGATGCACGGGTCATTTTTTCCTCAAACGCTTTTTGTCATAAGAAAAACCTAAATTACTGCTAAAATTCCTTAAAAAACGCTAAAAGCTGCGAAAAATCTGTCGCGATTCGCTGAGGAATAAAACCAAGTTACATCAATCATGGATTTAGATAGAACTCGACGACCTCTATAATCGATTGCATCGATTATAGATTTTCCATATTAGTTGGGAGTAATCTTTTCATGAGAGACGCGGTGGTACCGTCTTTTGCATATGCTGTATAGAAAGAGAATCATCCACTGAATGGTCGGTAAAATGAGGATAATAAAATTAAAAAATTAAGGATTAAATTAAAATAAGGATAAAAAATCCGGCAAAGCGTATGATTGTGTTGGTGTAATTCACGAAATACTCAACAGTATAGACCTGAACGAGAAATTAATATGATGTAAATCAATCGAAAACAGACCGACTCTATCTCTTGAAGAAAAGACCAATTCAAGCAGAATTTAGACGATGGACGAAGGTGAACAGATTATGAATTCTGCTGATGCCTATCCAGAACGAGAAATCCGACTCCAGGATCCTGTCGGATCCGACGCGGTTCCCGACGCAATCCGACATTTTCCGACAAGAATCAGATAACTACCGACAGGATCCTGTCGAAGGTTGTTGGAATCTTTTTTCTCGGATTCCGACAGAAAGTTGTCGATGTCCTAGTCATGGTCGGATACCGATGAATTTAACCTACTAAGAGATTTTTCCAAGTCTTTCAATTTAAAGGATTTTCAATACATTGACAGATTAAAGCCATCTGATGATCGTCGTAACTGAGATGAATCCGCTACTGAAATGCATACTACTACTGCCGCAAAAGTTTTCCGTACGGTTCAAACTTCTTTTTGTTTTAACCATAACTCAGCAGAGCAGTGGTCTTTCGGCAAACGGTTTTCACCAAAGTGTTGCCCATTCCTTCGAGTATATTTGTCGGAAAAACAAAATTTAAAATATTAGTTGTTCTTGTCTATAGGTCGATATCAATGCTCCGGTACTTTCTCTTCGGTACCGAAGAACTGCAAAGGTTTTCCTACGACTACGTAATTGAGTTTCTGACCCAACAAGGAAGTTTAAAGCTTTGAAAACCATACCAACGAAAAGCGGAGAAGATAGCGAACATTTTGGTAAAAGAAGATTTCTCGGGCCAGCAGATCTATTTTAAGGTAAAGTTGACATCGTCAACATGTAAACTGTCTATCTCGGTAATGAATGGACGAAATTTCCTTTTAGGCATATCAATGGAAAGAGCATCAAAAACTGCGAAAGAAAACGATTGATTTAAAATTTCACGAATAAAAGTTGACCCATTTTTTCGTCTGTTTGTTACAAACCCCATTCAAAGCATCCCATTTTTGCAGGCTTTTTAACTTTTTATCATTTTCTTTATGTTTTTAATCAAAATTAATAACATATTCAGAATCAGGATACAAAAATGGATTAAAAAGCCAAGTCTTAAAAGTTTTCTAAAAGACTTTGTTTGTTTGAGAAACCGAGTGAACCGTACAATACAGCTTTTTTCTGAAAATAGGTACTTTTACTACTTGTCAAAATACGCGCATTTCTCTTGATAATTACCCTATGAAAAATTTAGGCATAAATGAGACAAAAAAAAATCAATAATTTACGCGCCTTTACAGAGTATTACTTTGGCATGAAATGCGGTACAAGGAGGGTCTCAGAAGGCATAACTTAGCACTTA